GGGTCAAAATGGAATTGGAGGTTACAAATTAAATATGGGGGGGTGTCATGTAGAGAAATCCCATATGATGAAGAAATGCAGGCAGTTTCTAAGAGCTGTTGGTACCCTCCAGCTGACAGCCTATAAGGACCTTCAGTCAGCAAGAAAACGAATCCCTCAGTCTTAAAAATACAAGAAATTGAATTCTGCTAACAACCTGTGTGAGCACAGGACTGGATATGACCCCATTCGAGCCCCAGATGTGACCACAATTCCAGTCAATATATAGATTTGCAGCCTTGCAAGATGCTAAGACATTTTCATAATCACATCTTAATAATAATGAGTCCTATTATCCATGAACATAGTATATTTATCTACTTAATCCAGTTTTTAAAAATTTTACTCAGTAATATCTTGTGGTTTTTAGAATATTTATCTTAAGCATATTTTGTTAAATATATCTCTGTATCTACTTCAGCTCTGTCACTGAGCGGTACTAAAAGCCATGACATGTCAGTAGCAATGAGTACACTTAGTACCCAGATTTTGGATTCTAAATGCCATTCTCCACCTTAAAAGGAATTAGAAGTGTTTGGAGAAAAGAAATCCAGGTCTCGGACAGAAAAAGTATAAGACATGTCTGGAAAATCTTGTTTTGCTAGAAAATTAGAAAGGCTTAAAATGATGGCAACATATCAGAAGGACAGAGGATATATCTGCAGAGAGATTACAATGGACAAATCTGGAGCAATTTGAATATCAAAATATGTTATTACTATAATATAATAATAGAATGTACAATATATAATTCTAATGTCTAATAGAATGTACAATATAATAAATTGTAACAACTGACTAAAATAAAAAAAACTGTAATTTCACTCTGGTATAAATAAATCATTAGATAAGTAAGTAAATAGGAAAGAAGAGAATGTTCCTTATAGTAGAATGCTAACTAATAAATACAAAAGGAATTATATAGTAAGGGAATCAATGGTTGCTGAAACTAGTCAGTGAAAGTTTGATGTTGAACGGGGTATTTACAAAGCCTTAAAGTATCTCCTTACAAGGTTTTTTATTAGTTTTCCTGGGAAAATTGTATCTTTACAATGGAGACACTTTATGGATACCTTTCTAACCAAGTGATCAATTTAATATCACTTATATTGGGACAAACCAAATATATACACCTTTTAATAGGATGGATATTCTTAGAAGGACACAACATCACTTCTGTATTATTCCTGAATCTAAATCTAATCTTGAGGGGATCCCTGGGTGGCTCAGTGGTTTAGCGCCTGCCTTTGGCCCAGGGCGCGATCTTGGAGTCCCGGGATCGAGTCCCGCGTCCGGCTCCTGGTATAGACCCTGCTTCTCCCTCTGCCTGTGTCTCTGCCTCCCAACCTCTCTATGTCTATCATAAATAAATAAAAATAAATCTTTAAAAAAAATAAATAAATCTAATCCTGAGGATCAGATTGAGAGATTTCCATACAAACACACCCAGACTGAGGCACTTTGTAAAAATAATTGGCCTGTATGCTTCCAAGATTTCAAAGTCAAGAAAGAGAAAGACTGAGGACCTAGTTATTTATTACTTTGTAACAATATTACCACAATTTTAGTGGCTTCAAACAATGCACATTTGTTAACTCCCAGTTTTTGTGAATAAGGAGTCTAGGCGCTAAACTGTGTCTTCTGCTCAGGGGAGGTCTCAGGGCAATTGAATGTCAGCCAGGGCTGCAGTCTCATCTGAGAGTCAATGGTAGAAGGATCTGCTCCCCAGCACACTCAGGCTGTTGGCAGAATTCAGTTCCTTGTGGTTGTAGACTGAGGGATTCTTTTTCTTGCTGAGTTCTGGCTGGAGACCCTAACAGGCTGTGGGCTGGGAGCCCCCCTCTGCCTCAAGAAGCCCCCTTCATTTCCTTGCCTTCATTATCCCAACATGACTGCCTGCTTCCTCAGAACTAGCAAGGGGGAGAGACTCTAGCGAGATGGCACTAAAATCTTATGTACGCAACCATGCAATCACGTATACATGGTTATACACATCCCATCACCTTTGCCTTATTTATTGTTGGAAGCAAGTCACAGTTCCGCCCTCACATGAAGGGAGGGGAATCGCAACAGGGTGTGAACACCAGGGGGAGGATCCATGGAGGCCCCCTCAGGAATCCTTCTAGAATAACACTAATAAAGCATAGTGACTGTGATATAGCATGTGTTCAGTAGACATTTGTGGGGAAAATTTGAAAAAAAATTTCTTAGATTGCTTTGGCAGAACTTTTGTATATTGTATGTAAATGTGCAACTGATCTTTGAGTCGTTTCAAAGTTGATTCAAAGTTGATCTTTGGGGGAGGAGGGGCAAGATGGCGGAAGAGCAGGGTCCCCAAATCGCCTGTCCCCACCAAATTACCTAGATAACCTTCAAACCATCCTGAAAATCTACGAATTCGGCCTGAGATGTAAAGAGAGACCAGCTGGAACGCTACAGTGAGAGGAGTTCGCGCTTCTATCAAGGTAGGAAGACGGGAAAAGAAATAAAGAAACAAAAGGCCTCCGAGGGGGAGGGGCCCCGCGAGGAGCCGGGCTGAGGCCGGGGCGAGTGTCCCCAGGACAGGAGAGCCCCGTCCCGGAGGAGCAGGAGCTGCACCAACCTTCCCGGGCGGCGGAAAGGGGCTCGCAGGGAGTTGGAGCAGGACCCAGGAGGGCGGGGATGCCCTCGGGCTCCCGGGGACACTAACAGACACCTGCGAGCGCAGGAGAGTGCTCCGAGCTCCCTAAGGGCTGCAGCGCGCACGGCGGGACCGACCGGAGCAGCTCGGAGGGGCTCGGGAGGCGGCTCCGCGGAGGGAGCTGCAGGGCGGGAGCGCGAATCCCACAGCGCAGGCCCCGGAGCACAGGGCGCCGGGACACAGCCCAGGATCCGGCCTCCCCCGGGACAGGCAGAGGCCGGGAGGGCCCAGGACAGCAAGGACGCTCCTGCCCCGAGCTGAGCAGATCAGCGGCCCCGCCCCGGAGCCTCCAGGCCCTGCGGACGGAGAACCGAGAGCCCGAGCCCCGTAGTTCCTGCGGAGGCTGAATCCAGGCTTCCAGAGTTGCCATAGCAACTGCGACTGTTCCTCCTGAGACCTCACGGGGTAAACAACCCCCGCTGAGCCCTGCAGCAGGCAGGGGCAGAGCAGCTCCCCCAAGTGCTAACACCTGAAAATCAGCACAGCAGGCCCCTCCCCCAGAAGACCAGCTAGAGGGACCAGTGATACTCCCCCATGTTCCAATACAACTTGTTTTTGGCCACTCTGCACTGAGCAAAATGACTAGAAGGAAAACCTCACTTCAAAAGAAAGAATCAGAAACAGCCCTCTTTCCCACAGAGTTACAAAATCTGGATTACACTTCAATGTCAGAAAGCCAATTCAGAAGCACCATTATACAGCTACTGGTGGCTCTAGAAAAAAGCATTAAGGCCTCACGAGACTTCATGACTGCAGAATTTAGATCCAATCAGGCAGAAATTAAAAATCAATTGAATGAGATGCAATCCAAACTAGAAGTCCTAACGACGAGGGTTAACGAGGTGGAAGAACGAGTGAGTGACATAGAAGACAAGTTAATGGCAAAGAGGGAAACTGAGGAAAAAAGAGATAAACAATTAAAGAACCATGAAGACAGATTAAGGCAAATAAATGACACTCTAAGGAAGAAAAACCTACGTTTAATTGGGGTTCCCGAGGGCGCCGAAAGGGACAGAGGGCCAGAATATGTATTTGAACAAATCCTAGCTGAAAACTTTCCCAATCTGGGAAGGGAAACAGGCATTCAGATCCAGGAAATAGAGAGATCCCCCCTAAAATCAATAAAAACCGTTCAACACCTATCTTTGGTTGTTTCTTTTTGTGGTCTTTGGAAGTCTTATCACACTTAAAATCACCTTTTACTCTTAGCAGCACTGGGCACATGTGAAATTGTTTTCTGGGGGCAGTGTTGGAGTATATGCTTTCTGTTGCACAGCAAGGATCAGCCTAATATCTTAAATGCATGACTTTAAATTAGATCCTAATTCTCCATTTCAAAGACTGAGCCAACTTATGAATAATAAAGCCATGTAATAGTGCAATTATTCCAACCAGTACATAGCATTTTCTTTCCCAAATCAAATGTAAGGTTTTCTACACAAATCTCTTGTAGTGGCCCAGAATTCAGTTTGACAAAGGCTGATCCTTGTGAAAAGATATTACATAGAAGCTGATTTTTTGTTTTGTTTTTGTTTTTTGTTTTTTTTTTGTTTATTTGTTTGTTTGTTGCATCAGGGAAGGTAACACTTGGAGGAAATGGACTTAACATAAAAACAAGGATTTTGGAAAGATACTAGACACACTTTCTTGACAGAGGGATGCAATACAGATGGATTTATGATGAAAAAACAACTGTGGAGTTTTCCCTAGAGACTTTTACAAATGGGATGGACAACCATCTGTTGACCATGCTTTGAAGTTCTGTATCAGAGACAGATTGACCTCAGGGGCTCTTCAGGTTCTTCGCTGCCCTCCCACTTGCTTATGGAGAGGATGTTAAATAGAGCAATTATGTGGTTTTCATTGACAAATAATATTAACCGCTAACAGAAACATAATATATATCCTAAACACTCATACCCAGAACAAATCTATGCTGTTCTCATCCACTTTCTTATTTTCTCTGGAGAAAATATCCTGCACTAGTCGGATGACTAAAAATAAAATAATTAGCTTAGAAAGAAATAGCAAGGACTGAAACACTTTTAAGTTGACTACATCCAGGTGTGACACACTTAACTACAAACCAGTTTTAAAAAGTAGGTCGTTTAAAATAGACTTTTTTAAAAGTCGAAGGAACAAAAATGGGTGTTTTTGAAAGAAAATCCAGAGAATCGGAAATTTATTGATCTTGAAATTGTAGTCTAGAGAATCACTCGTCTTTTTTAAAAAATATAAGTTATAGGTTAAAAAATTTTCAGTTGATGTGCACAATCTCATTTTAAAAATCTCATGTCTTTGTAGACACCACTGTGGAGCCTGCCTCCTCCCAAGTATGTAAGGAGAAGTGTGATTTAATTATCAAGCCAGAGAAAAAGAAGGAACCTCATGAATGGTGGCAATTTTCATCTTTTAGGAGTGCTTTTTAGGTAAACTTCTTTGAACTAAGTCTTTTTCTTTTTAAATCAATGCTTTATAATTTACAAAAAATCAATTTAATAAAACTCAAGCAAGACTCTAAAATTAAGTATAATATAAATTGTGCAAAAATTTTCACTCACATTTGATCCATGCCTTGGAAATGCTACATTTTTTTTTAGCAAACAGAGGCTATGTAGAAATCTAGATTGAACTAGAAGTTCATTCTTTACAGATACAGTCACAGTGATTCAATTTTCCCATTCTTTTCTTACAGGGAAATTAACAATACCTTGAAAGGGGGGACGCCTGGGTGGTTCGGTGGTTGAGGTCTGCTTTCTGCTCAGGACATAATCCCGGGGTCAAGTCCCACATTGGGCTCCTTGCAGGGAGCCGGCTTCTCTCTCTGCCTGTGTCTCTGCCTCCCTCTCTGTGTCTCTTATGAATAAATAAGTAAAATCTAAACTAAACAAAAACAAAAAAACCCAAAACAGTATATTGAAAGGGAGTGACATCAAATCTAGAAGGCCCAGGATAAAATTCTCCATCTATGCTCACAGAAAATGTTGTCTTTGAATAATAGCAGTCCCAAGATGCACAATCAATAAATCAATATAAAGAAGGAACTACCTCTATAGAACAGGCCCCAATTCCTTCTCGTTCATTTGTTTTCATTCCTCTCTGCCAATGAAATCACTGAGTGCCTCAATGAGAAGCATTGCACAAACTATTCCAGTATGAGAGAGTCAGGCCTGCATAATCTCTTTTATATGAGGGCTCTGAAACTGAAAAATATTTCAATAATGTTTTAAAACTCTAGAATTCATCAATGCCAGTAATTTTCTCTTTGCAGTAGTTACCCTAGAAGGCTATATATTTTTATAAACTGTGTTGCCATTGCTGAAAACATTTTGGTAAATTTCTCTTTGGAATGCTTTCAGAATCTGCATTAGTCTTTTTGTGTCTCTTCACTAGTGACAATAATTTTGATTGGTTTATTTTTTGATGAGAGGGAATTTGTTGTTTTTTTTTTTGTTTTGTTTTGTTTTGTTTTGTTTTTTGTAGATTTTAAACAGCCAAAAGTCACTCTTCCTATGGTCTGGTGGGAAATAACTTTTTTTTTTTTTTTTGTAAAATCAGAAGTGATTATAAAGTAATGGGGCTGATTTTTGTTGTCTAGATTGGAAGTTTATGTTATCTTTTACATTTGCTAGCTGTGTGACCATAGGCAATTTACTTAACTACTTCCATGCCTCAGTTTCCCTACCTTCAACAGGAATAAAAGCAGCCCACCTAGAGTTGTTGTGACTATTAAGTGATATAACAAATATATGGTAGTAATTAGAGTGCTCAGTACATAGAGCTCAATAATTCTTTTTTTTTAAGATTTATTTATTTATTTATTTATTTTAGAGAGAGAGAGAGAGAGCCAAGAGGAGGGCAGAGGGAGATGGAGAAAGAGAATCTCAAGTAGACCTCCCCCCCCCACCATTGAGTGGGAAGCCTTACGCAGGGCTTGATCCCATTACCCTGAGATCATGCCCTGAACTGAAATCAAGAGTCAGATTGCTTAACTGACTGAGCCACCTAGGCACCCTGGTCTCTTAATTGTTAAACCAGGCACTTTGAGTTCTTACCAATAATTCTTACTGAGAGAATAATTATATGAAGGAACTTCTAGCTTCACCTTCCCATCAAACTTCTTTCTCTAAAGCTAGTACATTACCCAAAACTCACTGCAAATCTATCCTCTGAAATCAGCTCTCCCTCTTTGGTGTTACTAATTCATTTTGTTATTCTCTCTTTTCAGCCAGTCATGGAGTCTTGAAGATTGACCTGACATCATGACTCTTAAATCCATCTCCTTTCCTCCACCCTTGTCTTTAGTCTATGAACCCATGAATTCTTCATGTGGCAGGCAGAGTGATCTCTCTAAAGGGTAAGCCTGATGGAGTCACTTCCCACCTAAAACACTTTAGCGGTTCCCCATTGTTCTCTGGATATTGAATAATCTTGGTAGGACCTATAAGGCCGTTTGCTGTCTGAACCTGGTGCCTTGCAAGGGCATCAGTGCCACAGTTCTTTAATGTTGAGTGCTCTTGCTTTTCCAGGACTCTGCATGTGGTTGAAATTTGCTATCTTACTCTGTTTCTGGATACCTCCTACTATCTCTTCTGGATTTAATTTAGAGATCAGGTACTCCAGAAAGCTCCCACCTACCACCCACAGCTTGTTTAGGTATCCCTTTTATGTAATTTTTTAGCATCTGCACACTCATTGCCCTTAATTGTAATAATCCTCTTTCTTTGAAATTTATTTCCACATCAGAACATGACTGTCTGGAGAACACATGCTGTGTCTTATTCCTGGTCGTGTCAGTTGTGCCTCCTCTAGGACCTTATGTTCATAGATACATTCCTTTGACCCTAGTAGGGCTCAGTACTTATTTATTGAATAGATGAATGGATAGTAATTTTTTAAAAAGCTTTTATTTATTTGACCGAGAGAGTGAGAGAGCACAAGCAGGGGAAGCGGCAGGGGGAGAGGGAGAAGCAGGCTCCCCGCTGAGCAGGAAGCTCAACGTGGGGCTTGATCCCAGGACTCTGAGATCATGACTCAAGCCAAAGGCAGGTGCTCAACCAACTGAGCCACCCAGGTGCCCTGAATGGATAGTAATTCTGATGTCTTATCATAGTTCTTGTGACTTACAAATTTTATTGTTATTAAGGTTTTGGGTGTTGTTTTTCTAATTCCCAAATTCAGGCATTCACACCTATCCTCTCTGCTTAGAAAAATCTCTATCTTCTTCCAAATAGTTACATAACTCATCCTTTCCCTTAATGTGTCTCCACTTACATAGCATCCCAGAGAGATCTTCTCAGACCACATGAGCAAATGGGACACACCCATCCCACTGGCAAACATGGCTTCATTTTTCTTCATGGCACTTATCAATTCTGGACATGATAGTCTATGTTTATTATTTACTTGTTTATTCTTGATCTCTGTAAGCTCCATAAGCTCCAGTTTGTTTGTGTTTTCCATCACCGGGTCCCAGCTCCCACAATACTATCTGGCACATAGTGGGTACTAAATGCTAAGTAAAGTATTGAATGCCAGATTATAAGGTCATTGAGAACAGTAAGTTGTGTGTGCTCCACATAATCTAACCTGTCACAGTGTATAATTGATAAATAAGTAGAAAAAAGTCGTACTCACTTCAAAAAGCTTATCTCTATATTTGTATCATTTCAAAGGGGTTGATTTAATTTAATTTATTTTTTAAAGATTTTATTTATTTATTCATAAGAGACACACAGAGAGAGAGGAGAGAGAGAGGCAGAGACACAGGCAGAGGGAGAAGCAGGCTCCATGCAGGGAGCCCAATGTGGGACTCAAGGATCATGCCCTGAACCAAAGGCAGATGCTCAACCACTGAGCCATCCAGGTGTCCCATCAAAGGGGTTAGTTTTATACTTGAGTAACAGGGTGCCTCTTAAAGCCAACCATACTTACACTGAAGGAGAAGGAATTAAGAATTAAGTAAGCCTCTCCAACCTCTGGGAAAGTAGGCAGAAAGTTTCTTTGAATGAGATCTTTGTTGTGCTAAGAATCAGGTGAAGTTCTGCTCCCCATTTTTGTAAGTGTAGATTAGGAAAATGTTTCCTGGTTGAAGTGGAACAAAAGACTGCCATTCCCTGAGACCCTCTGTGAGCAAACAAAGGTCTTTTGGATGAAGTTAGGTTAATTTGCAGAAGGAGCTTGAAACTTCTGGAAGAGGAGCTAAAGTGTGTGTCTTTATTCCCTGTGATTTAACATAGGGGCTTGCTGGGGGATGGAGGCACAAGTCTGTCAGGTGAATAAGGGGGGCCCCATGAGCACAGAGACAGATGATAGCAATAGCCCCCACCCCACAGAAAAATCATCTGCAAAAAGGGCAGAGGTGGATTTGCCCCAAAGCTATAGAAGCTTTAACATCCTTCACTTATGGGGCCCCTCTGAGTCTCTTAGTGGGTTCCTAGCAATGTGTCCCCATGGTCATTTGTATCAACTAATGACTAAGACACCTGACACTTTCCACCCGAATATTTCTTCAGTGGACTTCTTCAGTAAAATCACTGAGGAGTGGCTGCAGGTATCTTGGGGTCCAACCAAGGGGAAGTTGAGTTAAGGAAACACTTAGTTTGGTTTAAGGGGGATATCTGTATTTGATTCACAGTCAATTCTATGTATTGTTAGGTTTTGGTTAGCTGCCTCATTATAGAAATGACTTATATCCACTCTTCAGAATTACCTGTCTCAGGACAAGAAGAGTCAGAAATCCTGTCATGATATGAATGTGCCCTATATCACCTGTCATCAGAAGTATGTGGCTAGTTCAGGTGAAACAAACTTTTTCCAATTTGGAAAATCCCTAAAACTTTGATGAGACTTAGTTTAAAATGAGACTACAAAATGTTTGAAAATCATTGAACAGACACTCAACAGTTAGCAAAAGATTCCAGGGGGTATATAAGGCAAATGCTACTTTACAAGTCTTTGCTGAAGGCCTTATTAACTATTTGATGTCCAAGATAAACTAAAAAGTAAAGAGGATGTAGGATATGATTTTTAAGGGCTCCCCTGAGACTCTACCATTTCCTACCCTATAACCTCCCAAAACTTTTTTTAAAAAGCAAACCTCAGGGATCCCTGGGTGGCGCAACGGTTTGGCGCCTGCCTTTGCCCCAGGGCGCGATCCTGGAGACCCGGGATCGAATCCCACGTTGGGCTCCCGGTACATGGAGCCTGCTTCTCCCTCTGCCTGTGTCTCTGCCTCTCTCTCTCTGTGTGTGTGACTATCATAAATAAAAAAAAAAAAAAAAAGCAAACCTCATGATGGATGAGGTCAGGCCCAAGTCTAATGTTACTAGATTCTTGGGATCTAAGTGCACTGCACCCTAAGCCTCTGCATCATAGCACATACAGGCTGATGTGTTGCCAGCTTCCCTAGTGTAAGAATCACTTGCAAGAATATTTCAATGAGTAAATTTCAACCAGAGGTAAGGCCATTTTCCCTTTAGGCTTTGAAAAATTGTGGTACCAGGAATGGAGAGTATATTCTGGGAATGAAATTCTAGTGTAGTGAAACGCTATGTGAACACTGATTAAAACTGCAATTGTAGAAGTTACCATAGTGGAAGGTACAAACATAGGTAATGGAAAGCTTACCCCATTCTCTGTGTCCTCATGGTCATTCCTATGTTCTCAAGAACATACCCCTGCATAACTCTGGCACACAACTTGAAAGCCCTAAAATAAGCAATGAGGATTAGGAGAGTGTTTGTCCCTCCAGGTCCTACTCTGTTCCTGGGAAGCTGACCTATAAAGACTATATTAACAAGCTCCTTTGCCCTCTGGTTAGTGGTTGCCTTGTTTAAGGGGGCAGCATCAATAGGAAATGATGGGGCAGGAGGAGATTGAGTTCAGAATTTTTATTAACCTGATACAATGGACTATACATGGTGGCAAAATTTTTGCTACTCCTCCAACTGAAAGGTAGAGTCTGATTCCCTTCTCCCCTTTCACAACTGAATGCTTAAACAACTGAATGCAGAGATGTGACATTTGGGGACTTTGAGGCTAGGTCATTACAAGAAGTCTTACAGCTCCCATATGCCCAGGTCTCTTAGAGTATTCAGTCTAGGAGCTCTGAGATATAGTGTTAGAAGTCTGATTACCCTGAGATTGCCCTGCTGGAGGGAGGGACCCCATGGAAAGAGAGCAATGCCAGCCACTGCCCAGCTGTTCCAGCTTTTCCAGAGAGACATGTGAGTGAAGACACCAACTTGGAGGACATTGCAACCCCAGCAGATACAGTGTGTGAAGAATCAAGAAACCCAGCCAATAATAGAACCGAGATCCCCACTGAGCTATTCCAGACATTTCCAGCTGTTCAAACCACCCCGGCCAAGGCCGAGGCTCCAGGCATTGTGAGGCAAAAAAAAAAAAAAAAATCTATCTTTGCTATGCCTTGCCAGGATTCCTGACCCACAAAATTGTGAGCATAATACATAATTATTGTTTTAGACTAGTAGGTTTTGGATACTTTGTTATACAGCAGGAAATAACCAGACACCTGGTAACCTCCCAGCTGTATCATCGCTGGTTGGCCGTGTTCCTCTGTCAGAGTCTCTTCAAGGCAGTCCTCCCCATATCGTTCACTACTCATGCCTTCTAGCCGAAGGGAAGCAATGACTCCCTGAGATCACTTGTTGCACCAGCCTTTGTTATTGGCTTTCTTAAATCTTGCCCACCTCTTAAAAATAGTCCCTTAATTACACTCTCCTGAACCCCCAGTTTAAGGGTGTCATCAGTTTCCCACTGGGCCCTCAGCTCAAATGCCAGACCTATTATACGTGTCTCAAGACATACTGAAGAGCAGGGGAAAGCTACAGTCTGTGGAAGGAGGTTCAGAGTTACGCTTCAGATAGCCACAGAAAAATTTGCCTAGCAAAACGGTATGTTTATAAACTTACAGCAAGTACTTTTCTCAAGTAATTAGTGTGTCACTCTTAATGAAATACTTTAGAAGAGACCAAGTTTTTTAGGCCATCCTTAAGGTTTTCTGGATTCGATAAATCTCACTCATCCTTTTGCTTTGTGAGGGAAAGGGTCATTCTCTAGCACATTCCATTATTTTATTTAACAAACATTTGTATATTACATTTTCTATATTCCAGGCACTCTTCATTTATTTTTAAAGATGTTATTAATTTGAAAGAGAGAAAGCACGAGTAGAGAGAGGGGCAGAGGGAGAAGAAGGCTCCCTGCTGAGCAGGAGCCCCAAGGAACCCTGAGACACTTAACCAACTGAGCGACCCACGTGCCCCTCCAGGCACTCTTCTAAGATCTTTACAAATAATAACTCAACTTCCTAATAACCCTATTAGCCCTGGG